AGGGGACCACTGGGGTAGGAAGGGGACCACTGGGGTAGGAAGGGGACCACTGGGGTAGGTAGGGGACCACTGGAACCAGGTCTTGATTGGCCCAACACCCACTCAGCAAGGGCAGGTGGGACCGGTGGATGGAATCACGGAGAAACCTCAGGAGCAAGGGGGTTTCTGGTTAAGCCAATCTGGTAGGATTCTTGCTAACGAGGGTTCAGGGGGTCGGACATCACCTACGGGTTGGTAGAGCATGAGGGTTAAGGTTAGGGTGGAATATCACTAACGATCAGATATCAAGGGGGACCAGATAGCAAAGGTGGGGGTCCTGGCTAGTGTTCTTCACTGAAACTGGGTTTTGCAAGGGAGTGCAGAGAAGGGCCTGTGGGAAGAGTCAGAAGTTGGACCCAGCGAGGAATCTGACCCAGGTGTCTCCAGGACCCTGCAGGGAGCCCGGCTTACTGCCATCAGGAAGGCTTACCAAGGCCGCATCGTGGTGATCCGAGTCACCGGAAGAAGCAGGTTTCTAGGCACCAGCTCTGATCCCTTTAAAGGGTGAGTCGTGAGCCCCCCCCACCATGGAGCCCCCGTGATGCATCAGGAGGAATGAGAATGTGCATGGGCCACCACACCTGGACAGAGGCACAGCCCAGGTGGGCACATTGAGCCCCTCACCTGGGAGAAGAGGAGCGGTCAACCGCTAGCCCTGGGGGTCACGGGCACAGTGTGCACATCTGTTTGAAGCACTGGCTTGTTGTTACCAGTTTAAACCAAGACCACAAGTGGCTCTGGGATCCTACACAGAGAAGGATGATGAGCAGGAGGCGCAGCCTGTTTCCATGTCACAGCCACAGGGGCCAGGACCTTGGAGGCCAGCTGCACGGAGCCCTAGAGGCAGAAGCTTGAGGCTCCTGGCCAAAGCCAGTTCTGCCCAGCCTGGGTCCTGCTTGCCTGTGACCTGTGCTGCTCCGGGTGGGGTTGCCCGTCTGCTTGCCTTAGGAAGAAAAAGAATCTAAAGGGATCGTGTTCATTTCAGTTTTACATTCTTGGATGTTTTAGAAAGCACAGACTCTGCTTTTATTGGACACATGAAGACCCTGATATTTCCCAGCCCTTAAAAATTGTGAGATTCTCCCATTTGAGACAAGGAGTTAGCACTCATGTATACATCTCCTTGTGTTCTTGAACCTTGTTGACATTATCTGAGGGTTTGGGATCCACGGCATCATCATTAGATTATTGGTCTTTTGTTACATAAGCTCCCTTATAAAGATATATTTTGTCTTGGTGCTTTCTGTAACGTGGCCAGACTTACAACAACAAATTCGATTTTAGTCTCTTTTACCTAATTTTGCTGAATACAGCCGGTCCTTCCCAGGTCACATCTCCCCACGCCTATGCTCTTGACTTTGTTTTATCTCTCCGGAGCTGGGGTACTTCTATAAGTAATTTTTTAAAAAATGGGTAGTATGTTTTCCAAGCTCTTGCACCTCTGAGAATAAGTTTCTTCTGCTTTCTTACTTCAATGACAAGTTGGCTGGGTCTGGAACTCTTGATTTTCAACATACTCATTTTTTTTTAAAGAGAGAGAGATAATTTTAATGTTTATTTTTCAGTTTTCGGTGGACACAACATCTTTGTT